TGAATAGCTATAATAACCAAGTAAATCATAATTAGGTTGAATCCTTGACAGCAAAATGTGCATTAACTATTTGCTAGGTCCAATCTCTTTATCTACAATTTATTCATTGCTTTTCTTTTTGGAATTTCATTTTCGTTAAAGTGAAAACCCCGACAGGACATTTTATATTGGGAACACTTTTTATTTCATCCAGTTTGGTCCATTTTGTGCTTTTTTCCCCAAAATTTAAGTCACGAGTGGCTCTCTTATTCCAGGATTAAGGTACATCTAAAATTTAATTAGAAATTACATAGGAATTTACATATTGTCCACCAATCACCAAGAGTAACGGTGGTAGAATTCGAATTTGATCTTACAAGCTAAAATTCTTAAATCTCAACCAATTGCATTAATAATGATTGGCGTCCATTTTATGGTTTTCAGATTCATCCATCAATTCAATTATGGTGGGGAAAGATAGGAAGGGGACCAAACTTTGGATCATGAATACGAGTTTCTGTAATGAAAGTATTTTTTAATAAAATATTAATATAATACCTTTGTCAAATGCTTAGTCATTTTAAGCAAAATTTCTTGAATAATGTATACTATTGACTCGTCTTTGTTGATAATGAGGGGGATATTTTTAGGTTTTCCTTTTTCGAGTTTTAAGGTTTTACATTGATTAATTTTAATATGTTTGAGTCTCATATCTGGTTTTGGTGGGTGAGTCTCCCAACGATAATTTTTTGCATATACAATAACTCAAATCTGAGATATTGTTTAAACGATATTAAGTTGTTTACCACTTGTATCAACCCGTTGATCTGGTTTTTCCTTTAATTACATAATATTTCAGTTTTTAATGGAGAAATCAAATGGGAAATGTCGATCAAATTATGCGAGCCAGCTACCATTTCTTCAAATGCCAACCAAGAAAAGCCCCTCACACAAAAGCATTGACTTTCAAAACGGGAAATTTCCAGAAATAAAAAGAAAATAAGTATCCGGTCAAAGTTCAAAACCCAGAGATTCCGATTATTTAATAGAATGAAATCTGGAAATAAAATTCATGACTGAAGCCTTGTCTGACAAACTCATAATTCTGCATCAATCCCCATGCAATGCATGTGTTGACCTGTTTTGAAAATCGTTTTCTTCGTTTTGACACGGTAATTTGAAGTACAAGTTTTATACTTTTGTAATTTCTACTAACACGTTCTTCTTTTTAACCATTCGTCGGGGTAAAAAAAAAACTGGGAAATCCAAGGAAAGTCCTAGTATGGCGCCGACAGGTTAGGCTGTTTGGACAGCAAGAAAAAGCATTATCAATGCATGTGCAAGTAGGGTGCAACATCAAACACAACATATATAAAGACAGAACTCACTCATATATATATATATATATATATATAGTAATGGAATAAGGGGAGGTAGGGTATTAGTCTGCCCCCAACGCCAGGATTGAGAGCAGCTTCCGTGAATGACCTCCGGCAGTCAGCAAATTAAAGATAAAGATAAAATAAAATGCATGTATAAATAAAATAAATAAATGCATAGTTGAACAATCTTCATATGCAGTCCTCATATGCACGTCTGTAATGGGAAGTAATCCCTGTAAATAAATCCCTGCATTAAAATATCTGCATATAGACAGAAACGTAAGACCCGACTAAATTTAAAAAGAGGAAACCTGAAGAGAATGATACACAATAGTCAACGGTAGCAAGCTACGAGAAGGAATAAAGTCTAATGGGTTAAAAACTTAAACTAAGGCAAGACTACTCCGCTAACCTAGTTCTAAGCCTTCATAAATTCTAATGACATAAATGTATATAAAGTATAAGTCGTGGAAATTATTACCGTCGAATGTAATCGACTCTACCCTCTTAACTGCATCCGACGGTTGTCGCCTAAGGACATGCTCAAACCACCGTAGTCTTCCCTCCCTTAATTTTTCGGATACAGACATCACCCCTAAGGACATCCTAATAGTAGAGTTTGGTGTCATGTCCCACAGAGTTCTACCACATGCCTATCGTAGCATTCTCATTTCTGCGGCATCCATCCTCCTTACGTGATCCTTCTTGATTGACCAACATTCTGATCCATACAACAACGCTGGTTTTATTGCCATTATATAAAATTTTCCCTTAAGTTTAGAGGATCCCTCTTGTCACACAAAACTCCAATAGCAGCCATCTCACCTTTATATGATGTGTAACGTCGTCATCTACACCCACATCTTTATGTATCATAGACCCTATGTACTTGAAACATTCTTTTGAGGGGATAACGTGTCCCTCTATGCATACTTCTACATCTTCATCGTTTTTATTTTCACTGAAGTTTGAACATAAATACTCAGTCTTTTCAATATTGATCCTTAGAAATATTTTCACATTGAACTTTTCATAATAATAATAAATTTATATTTTTAATAATATCAAATTAATATAAAATTAAAAATACTATAATTAAATTTTACCCTATATATATCGACCTGGCAAGAAAGAGGACGCATATTGAGTTTAATATATATCTTATGTTTAATATTGGGTTCAATACACTTAGAAAAAATATTTAAAAATATCGATGATTGGATTGCAATTTTGAGATCAATATTTTGTTAAAAGTGCGATACGATACACCCCTAATCATTTTTTACATTAAAAATGACTCATTAAGAATTTAATTTACCTTAGTTGCATTTACATTTAAATTAACCCATAAATCAAATAAGAAAGTAAAGTTTGTTATTTTATGTGTTGTTTTTAAATAAATGTTGAAATTACATATTTTTTGTTTTAATTGATTTTCTTTTGTCAAATTATGTATTTAATATTTTGTTTTTATATTATTTCAAAAATTAATCCGTCAATATATGTTAAAGAATTGTAGTCATGCATGACATATGATCTATATTTTAATTTTGAAAAAAAAAATCCTAAAAAGAAAATCTAAAATCCCTAAAATTCAAAATTAAAAAAAAAACTAAAGTTCAAATTCTTTAATCCTTGTATCCCTAAATTTTGGATGACAGTATCCAATCAATTATCACTTCTTATTCATTTTTTCACCGGACGTCGTTCATCTGTAATTTATCTCATTGTCACCGACAAAACTCTCCAATCTCATTCCATCATTCATTTAGTCATCGTTTCCGTAGCCAACACCTATTGGTTAGTCACCGATAGTAAATTTACTTCGTCATCTGAATCAAACCGATGAATTATGTTACCGGAATCTCTGGTTGAACAATGATTTTTGAATTTAAGAATGTATGAATTTAGAGATTGAGTTTTCTTTTTTTTTTGGTAAAGTATAAAATTTTGGGTTTCTATAAATTAAGAATTATGTTATCTCATTTGTATACTAGTTTTAAGAGAAATATCATAAGCATAAACCCAAAAATATATTTCTTTTCATACATGCAAATGAATAACAAATATTTTGAGTTAAAACCCAACAGTAATAATTACAGACCTTTGGAAAAACTGATTCAATTGATAACGGCAAAATCCAAGTTCTATTATTCTGAAGAAGAATTCAAGTCCTTTTACTAAAGACAAACGTGTTTCATAAGATGTACGTTCTAATTATTAAATAAATCAAATTCATTTAGTTGTCTAAAACAACAAAAATGAAATTTTTAATTAGCTTTAAAGGAAAAACCTTATGCAATTAATAATTAAATCTAAAAAGAGAGAGAGAAAAATAAATGTAAGAACTGGGTCCCACAATAGATTTATTCACTGCCACTCATGCCTAGTTGTCCGTACACAGACAATCAGCTGAAGAAAGAAAGGAAGGGGACAAAAACAAAGGTAGCAGACCGTAACTGGGCCCACAACGCTGAATACTTTTTTCTTATTTAAATGAGAATACATTTATCTTAACTTCATTTTTATTGGCTTAGGGCGTTGGGGGAAAAAATCTCTATATTGGGTTATATTTAAATTATTTATTGAATTAGGATATTTACTACAGTAATTTTATTGGTCGTCAAGTGTTTTATAAGCCGTCAAATGTTCATTACGATAAAGTTTCATCTTGTTGCAACAACTCTTTTCTCTGTCTTCACTGTTGCAGCTTCATAAGTCGTCAAGTGCTCTTGGAGACCTATGAAGGTCGCCATGTGCTCCTGAAAACATATGGTGGTCACTGTAGCAATCACGTTACTTAAATAAATAATGGTTTAACTGCACTATGTGAAGAATTTTTTTCCTATTGCATTATTTAAACACTTTTATCATTTTTGTTACTGTATTAAAAATGGACAAATGTTTGAATAATACAATAGAAAAAAATTCTTTACATAATACAGTCGAATAATTATTTACTTAAATAAAATGATTCTTACAATAACCATCACAGGTCTCTAATAACATATGACGATCTTCATAAGTATCTAAGTATACTTAACGACCTATGAAATATTTAACGGCTAATGAGATTAATGTAAACGTCCCAATTCAAAAAATAATTTGAGTTAGAGCCTTATACGAGGAATGTTTTTTTTTTTTTTTTTTGCAACGCCCTGCGAGGAAGCCTAAAAAATGATCCCGCCCTTTGCACGTGCGAATGAGGTAGTGGGGTCCATCACTGGGTCACGTTCACCCACCCTTAGCCTTTACCGGATTTTGTTTATTTTCTTCTCTAAAACCGATAATGATAATGACGCGGGGTGCCTGGACCGTAGTGATAAACTACGTGGAACAACTGCATGTAGCTGAAACGTGGCAGATATGCCGCATGTCAGTTACTCGGATTAAAATCACAGCCACATCGTTTATTGATAATAAAAATTCCACGTTTGACAGACCCAAAAGGGAACACGAAATTCCCTTATTACCCCTGCTTTTCCACTTTTTAACCGAGACAAGCACGGGGTCAAGAAAAAAGATTAAAAAAAATCCCCTAAAAGGGGGAAGGATGTAAATAATAGCCGAATCTAAATCCAAAGACAAAATCTGACACCCCATGTTTTGCTAATTGGTGTACAATAAATAGCGATTTGATTCCCTCTCCCCTTTTCATTATAAACAAAGTCTGCCCTCGACTTTCTCTCAAAACCAGTCGCCACCTATATCTGTGTTTATCTTTTTTTTGTTTTACAAGCTCATCAATCCCTCCCTTGTTCTCTCCTGCTTCAGAGCCAAAGACCCTCTCTCTCTTTTCCCTCTATCCAGCCCTTTTCCCCTCTATATTATTCCCAAAGCGATTTACGTTGAAGCACAAGAATAAATATAGCCTACCGTTTTAGCTTTTTTGTTTTTTATCAATGGCGGTTGAAGCTCCGCATATTAACCCTTTCCCTACTCAGTTAATCACCAACAGGTTCTTATTATTATTTGAAATGGGTTTATTTTGTTTTCAAGCTCCTTTCTTTGGCTTTCATTTTATTTACATGAAGTTTTGATTTTGTTTGCAGCAGAGATTTTCTGAAAACAAATCAAGGGAGTGGCAATATATGTGGTACCCAGATGGATGCTTGTGTTCCTTTGGTTGGTTCGATGCAACAGGATTCACAGCTTTTCCCATTGAATCAGCCCTTTTTTTGTGATCCGATTTCTGCCAAAACTTCAATCAACAAAGTTGATAGCGGCCTTAAATATAACATGAATATCCCAGTCTCATCAACAAGAAAAAGGCCCAGAGATTCGTTTGTCAATGGCCTTGATTCATATCCCGTCTCTCAGAAGAGTAAACTTTCTGGATTTTCCTTTGTTATGGACGATGATGTTGTCTCCCAGATCCAACTGCAACAACAAGAAATTGAGCGTTTCATTGTTGAACACGTAAGTTTCCTTTAAAAAAGCAAATTTTCTTAATACAGCTGTTTCAATGAACGGGAAAGCAAACTTTTCTTTGTTTCCTTTAATGCTCAGTTAACAAGGCAATTTACTGATATCAACATTTTTGCATTTATTACAGACTGAAAAAGTGAGGTTTGAACTTGAAGAAAGAAGAAAAAGCCAATCGAGAATGTTGATTAAAGCCATCCAAGAAGGGGTAATCAAGAAACTGATGGAAAAAGAAGAAGAGATGCAAAGAATGGGGAAACTAAACTGGATTCTTCAAGAAAGGGTTAAAAGCCTGTACGTGGAGAACCAACTGTGGAGAGACCTGGCACAAACAAACGAAGCCACTGCCAAGTCCTTGCGCACCAATTTAGAACAAATTCTGGTGCACGTCAGCGAGGAACGCCACGTGAGCGGTGGAGGAGCAGCTGCGTTGGCCGACGATGCGGAGTCTAGCTGTGGAAGCAGCGATGAAGGGTGGCGCAAGGTGCTACTACCGCAACCACATGTGAGTGGCGGTGGTTGTGCGGCGGTGGGGAACAATAATAGGAAGTGTAGGAAGTGCGGGGAAATGGAGTCGAGTGTGCTGTTGCTGCCATGCAGGCATCTTTGTCTCTGTACAGCTTGTGGGTCCGCTCTGGTAGGCACTTGCCCTGTTTGCGATTCTATTACCAATGCCAGAGTTCATGTTAACATGTCATGAAAAAAAAAATCTTTGTTAGATTTAATGAAAAAAAGGTGGAAAAAAAAGTGAAAATGGAACTGCATATATCTTTTCTAGAAATGATTCATAGGAAAAAAGGTTTCAGTATTAGAATCTGTTTCATCTTATTCATTATTTTTTGGGGTTAATTATGAATGCTTATGTTTTTTTCTTCTTCTTGTTTTAGCATCTTATTTTTACGATTTGGAATGGTATTCTTTTAGTAGTTTTAAGAAGGCCTGAGAAATTTCTTCCTACAGTCTTCTGGGCATTTTCTTTAGTGTATTTAGCATTAAAATATGTGAAATATGATAGAAGAGAGAAATAAGAAAAGATGTTTTGATGAATTAAAAAGAGGCTCTGCAATGAAATAAGAAGAAGGATAAGGGCATATGGGCTGACACGAGTGGGGGGAATCCTGATGACCAAACTCAAAGTAAAAATGGCAGAGTTAAGCATTATTTGATTTCTAGGGTCTAGCTTTCTGGTTATTCATTCACTCATTTAACCTTTCACCTATTATTCTGAAACTTAAAGAATCTCAAATGGAGCTGGCCACTCCCAATTAATTTCTAGCCCTCCTTTTTGCCAGGGTGGGTAACTCCAATCTCTATTTTTTTTAACTTGCAATTTTTATCCCTCCACATATAAAAATTATTAAACAGTTAAAAATATTTGATTATAAATATATATATATATATATATATATACTAGAAACCATATAAATTAAATTAAATTTTAGTAAACAATTCAATTATATTTTTAAAATAAACAATCTTTTTCTAATGACATTTTAAAATCAAACTATATTTTCTTATTATTTTTAATATAACATCATTTAATATGGTGAACACATGCGTCAAATGTTTACCATTAAAATCTCTTGAATAGTCACGTTATGCTAGATTTCTTCCAAATGTCCATACTTTCAACTACACTTTCGGCTACCATGACATAAGGCAGTAGCCAAAAGGTGTAATGAAAAATGGAGTTTGACACATATAGAGAGAAAATTGGGTTTCGTTAAATAATATATGGTTGGTAGGTAGATAATGATAGATATTTTAGTAAAATACGGGATATATCATCAAACTTTATTATGATTTTATAAGATTTAACTTCGTTAAAAAAACTGAATTAATCCAATAAAAAATATAATGGTCAGTCCAAATATTATTCAGTTGTATTAGTAAAGAAAATTTGGAATATAATATATTGATAATATTGGATAGGAAATTTTCAAAGACCGGCTAACCAAGTTGATAAGCGAACAACCAAGAAACTGGAGCTATCATATTTAGGCAAGCAAGTGTTAGTTGCCTATTCCTTTCCCATTGATTAAACCAACTCTCCTTTGAGTGAATACCATTTAACGCTATCCAACCTTGGCTTGGGGAGGTATCTACCCAACTATCCATGAGAGGTTCGGTTTCTTAGGTTTATGATTATCTTCGTTATTGGATTAAATTACAATCCTTTTATGTGTATTTTAACACATTCATGTATTTATGCTATGTTTATATCAATTTTTATTTAGTGTTGTATTTTGTAGTAATATTTGTTTATTGTATGCGTGGTTTTTAAAATTATAAGATATATAAACTGAACATTAAAATATGTGTAGTCATGCTACAGAGTTGGATCATCAATACTATATTATTTCTTAAACTACTTGTAAAAAAAAGTTGCTTAAACTACCTGATAAAGGGGTTGAATATTATACACTCAATCACTCCTAGTTATTTAATAAAAAAAATAAGATTTTTATATTATAATTTGATGCTTCAATTCTAAAACAACGTTGTTGAGATAGTTGAGTGATCAATTTGATTCAAACTCAATACAAATGAATTGAGTCAACCATTCATATCTTATTTGTTATTTTATAATAATATTTTTTTGACAGTAAAGAACAGCTAATTTTATTAAAAAATACCTAAAACTACAATGAGGTCTTACCATTAGAATAGTAAACTAACACATAATTTGGATATCCTTGTGACAAAAAAACTAGTCATTTAACATAATATATGGACCATACAATGAAAAGGTGAAAAATCTATTCAAAAACCATCGAATAACATGTATATACGAGAAGATTTGACTGCAACAACAAACGAACCACATCAGAAGATTAAACTATTGAAATACCACCGACAAATGGAAATCAGAGTCAAGCTTCATGAGAAAATCATCTATGAACACAAGTTGCGTATCCAAATCTAATACGATGGTGCAAGATATGGAAAATCAACGAGATAACAAATAAACACCATATTAAGCAGTCGTGACAGTCAAATCCAATCATGTGAAAATTAAGTGAAAAAACTATGAAAAGAACAAAAAAAAACTATCAAAATACAGAAAAAACATGGAATGAAGACATAAAAAATCGTACCATAAAAGTGATATTATTATAAATAAAAAGTAAAAATGTGATTTTAAAAAAAGATCAAAAAGCTACGACTAAGACCAAGAATGGTACCGTTTACTACTAACCAATCAAAAGTTAGAAAGAAAATATAAGAAAAGAGTGGCGCTAGAATGGAGAGAGTAATAGGGTTTTTTTTTTACAACTTTACAAAATAATATATGGCGAAAATGATTGACCTTATAAAAATTATTATAATTATATAAGTAGAGGACAATGTGGATGGCAACGGCAGTCCCATAATTAAAGTTTTGCTTCGAAAAAAGCATCGTAAAATATCAGATAAAGACAATTAGAGTTACCGACTGAAATTTCTCGAGAAAAATTGTGATAAATTTGACAATTAGAGTTGATCCATAAAGCATGGATTAATTTAATAATGATGTTTCGGGGCACATGTCGCTACCAAATTCAACCTTTTTTTTTTTACTCTTTCAGAAAAGTCTCATTGGTCACAGTGCATTTTACCCTCAATATTCTCATGCACTGGAAAGCTTCGGCGAGTTCCCAATTGATTTTTCCTTCTGTATTAGGTGGTAGGAATTTCAACATTTACGAGATGCGAGCAGACAACCACTATTTGACCGGGCAACTTTCCAAGTTTTATATATACACACACTTGGGGTGACAATACATTGAAACGAGTAAAATTAAATAATTGGTTTTTTTTAATATTTTTTAATATTTTTTATTATTAATCTAAACAAATCATTTTCATTAATCTAATGATTATAAAAATATAATATTAAGAGTTTTATATCGAGTAAATAGATATTGCCACTATACGTGTACGTATAAATAAAAAAATGAAATTTATAAATAATTTATTAGAAGAAATTCATCCAATCATCCTATAGAAAAAATGATTTTGATGTTTGAATGAGGTAGATGAAACGTTATTTCCCTCTTGAATTGGGGTTAGGTTTGATTGCATGAAAGTCGGATTTCGATGCCATTTTCAGATAAGCCTCATTGAAAATTATAAATAATAAATTATTATATAACATCGATATTAATGGATTCTCCCGATGTGACAAGTTGAACAAAATTTTGGATAAAAAAGTTAATGACTAACCAAATTTGACCCAATTCATTCATGAATAATCACGAGAATCTTAATTTTCTAGTCATGGCTGGTGAATGACAAAGAAATGGAGCTCAGAATGATGGGTAGACAACAAATGTTGGACCAAAGAAAATTGATGAAGGTGGTGCGAAGTTTTCACTCAATCACTGATTGCTCATCAGCTGCTGACCAAACCATAATTTTATTTCAAGTTGAACTTAACTTGGAAATGTCCCAATGCGCCTGTCTTCAAATGAGGTTTTTAACAAATCAAACAATCCTAATAAATAAATACATGTATTGGTTTGGTCCATATTTAATTACATAGTAATCATGGCATATGAAGTTAACATTTAACGATGGAGATTTGTTTGTTTTCAAAAATAAAAGTCAACAATTTCACTCCCTTGTCAAATTTTATTTGTTTTATGTACTTGTTCCAATCTCCCTCTGAATAAAATAAAAAAAGTCTAAGGTAAAGATTAATTTAATCATTGTATAATACTATATACCTTTAATCATAATAAGGGCTGTTATTGCAATAATGATTTATTTCACGTGATTGTGACCCCTTTTGCATGATATTAAACTATAAGTAATATTATATACGCATTCTTAATTTGAATAATCAAACGCACTATTCTTTACCAAGAATGGGTTAATATATTAGTTAATGAATTTGACATCTTCCTTTAGGAAGCACACCTTTCTGTTTACTCTTACTAAAAGAATAATTATTTTTATAGTGTTGTCAACAAAATTCATTTATTAAATTGTTTGGTTTTATTAATATCGACATGAAGATATTTTTTTATTATAAGGAAAAACATATTATATATTAAGTTTCTCGAGAAAAAAAATTGTGTTCAAATTGTAAATTTATATAATGGAGTGATTAGTTAATTAACCTGATGTGGAAAGTAAGAATACTTAATTGATTTGAATAAAAGAATTTTAAGTTAATTTAGTTGTTTATCAAATTAATTTGAGTGAAATGAAATTTAGATAAAATTCGATTGAATGAGACTTGTTTAAGAATTTTTTTTAATTCAAATTAAAACATTGTCAAATGTCAATAAGATTATTAAATTCTCACGAGTAGAATACGTATACTATAAGGTGTTTCTGCTTTCTATGAACGCTGTTAGCACACGGCGCTGTAAGGCATATGCGCTACAAGTAAACGATGGCGTAATGAAAACCTCTGGTCATTTCCCATGTCGAGATAAGTAGTTAAGGAGATTGTTGACCTAATTTATATTTTTGACTGATTATTCAATTTTCTTTTATATTATTTCTCTCTACCTCTATAAAAGTTTCAACATGCAATTGATTCATGATGTAATGATATATTCTTATTAATATTAAAATAAACTATTTTATCGTTTATTCAAAGAAATCAAACTAAAAATTTAAAATATAAATTATATTTATGAGAAAATATTTTTTAAAACATTTAAAATTACATTCTGTCGAAAATTTATGTTATCATAGTTTAAATCTAGAAATTAGGTCATCCCACATGATTTTATCAACCTTGTGATATAAAAAAAAACAAAAGCGACACATTAACCCCCACCCTATTTATTTACGTGCATTGATATTTTTTTTTTCTCGAGTTACGGACACCATTAATTATTCTGACACAAA